GGACAAGCCTGCAGCCAGCCTGACTCTGCTGGAGGCTGTGATCACATACAGCCCACATATAGCCCCTGCAGCCCCATACAGCCCTGCACAGACAGCCCCATATAGCCCCATGCAGGCCCACAGGTGCTCACCTGCACTTGGTCTGGGCAGTAAATCTGTGGCTTCCAGTCAGGGATCCAGCCCATCCCACTCTCTCCATTGCCAAATTTCTCACAAAAGGCCCCATACTGGGGCTGGGAGTGGCCACAGCGGTGAGGGTCGTGGAAGGCGACGTAGAGGAAGAAAGGCCTAGGGATGGAAAGGGTGGAGGTGGTGGAGCAAAGGGCTGATCACACTCCCCAAGACCTTCCTGGGCCATGCTGGGGTGAGCTGGAGTTGGCAGGAGGACTCCCACATAATCCAGGCTTCTGGTGACTCAGAGACAAGGAGTCCCTTCCTATTTGCAACCGACTGGGACATGGGGACATGTCTCCAGTGAAGGCAGTTTCCCTCCTCTCCTGTCCCCCTCACATCCAGCCCCAGGACGCAGGGACCACCTCACCTCTCGTCCTGGCTCTGCAGGAACCGCCGGACAAGTGCTTTGATCCGGGTGATGTTTCTCCCAACCTGCAGGACTGAACTGTTCTCCTCTGTGTAGGCGAAGTCGAAGGGGTACACAGCCTCTGGCCCAACGTGTTTCTTCCCAATTATCCCTGCAAGAAGGCAGACAGGTGGAGTGCCAGGAGCAGTGGGAGAGGAGGGATGTGACTGCTGCTGTCTCCTCCCTGGGGGGACAGGCACAGCTCCAGGGGGTGCTCCCTGGCTCACAGGCAGTTTAGCCATCAGATTGTCTCACCTGATGGGGTTTGGTGAACTGAGCTGGGGTTTCCCTACCTGTGTCACTTGGCTTTGGCTCTGTACCTGTGCAGGCTCCCTACCTGTCCTGACGCCTGCTTGGCTGAGCAGACGGGGCAGGCTCCGCACACCATCGAAGGAGTTGAAGTGATGCACGTCCTGGTGCAGCCCATACATCCCATTCTGGTGCTGCACGAGGGAACACAGCAGGGTTGGACAAGGGCTGCCAGCCCAGCCCCAAAACACATCCAGCCGGGCACTGAGTATGCATGTGTGGGACTGGGAAGGGAAGAGGGTGGGCCAGCAGGCACGGTGGGGTCACACAACCTGTGACAGTGCCGTAAGAATGTGGTTCTGGCCATCCCCAATCCCCTGCCGTGGGCTGGCAGCCTCGGCACCGGCACATGCAGGTGCCCTACCTGGGGTAAGCCGGTGAGGATGCTGGCCCGGCTCGGGGAGCAGCTGCTGACGGAGGTGAAGGCGTTCTGG